CTCATCGGCGCCACCTGGCCCGTCGCAGCGACGATACTAGGGGGCTCGAGCTGGTGGTGCATAACCTCCGCGCCATCCTAGCGCCTGCAGTAGGGTTAGATTGGGTCGATGATGGCAGACGCGACGACACTGGAATATCCTGAAAATCTTCCGGCACAACCACGCGAATCTCCAATCTCCGAAACATCTTTCTGGCGGATCTAGAAATTATCTTCACGCCTTAAACTCTTCCGGCGAGTCTCCACACACTCTTCGCACCACAAATATCTTGGAACGAATCTCCAGAAGCACTTCACGCTTAAACATATCAGAAAGAAACTCCGCCATAGATGTTCAAACAAACTCTGCACGCTGGAAATGTTCCGTAGATCTCCCAGCCATGTTCCAGATCTTTTCCCGAGATGTCTGCACGACACGCTGGACATGTTTCAAAGACTTGCCACAAATGTTCCGGAGATTCCTGCGCCGTGGTGGGCTTCCGGAGATTCCCCCGGAGATTTGTAAAGCCCGGAGACATCTGAAGATTTACTCAGAGATGTGCAAAGGCTGGATGGAGATTTTCCAGAGATGCTGCGAATGCCCAATACGATTTGGACATTTCCCCAAGTATTCTCCGGAGATGTTTCGCCCAGAGGGCCCTGGTCGCGTTTGCCAGACTGACTCAATCGAAGGGTAGGGTCGTGTGGGCGGTCAGCTGGGTGCTGTTGCTGTGCCGCAGGCGCGCGCCTGGCGATGCAGAGCTGGTGCTGTGCCGCAAGTGCGCGCCTGGCGATGCAGAGCTGGATGAGCTACTGCCGCCGGCGCCGCCGCAGCCCACAGTCAACAGCATCAAGCGGTGCGGCCCAACAGCGGGGCCCGACACGACGACCCGGGCACCCCCGCACTCGGGTCCAGGCCCGGGGCTCCAGGCGCAAGCTCAACGACATCTTGACCCGGGCACGAGGGCCAGGCCGCACTCCTCCGACGAGGTCAAGGGCGTGGGCCGCAAGGGGGCTCTGGGTGGATCTCGACCCAGCCACAGGGGCTAGCGGTCGCCAGCCTCGGGCGAAGCCGGAGAAGCTCGAGCCTCGCCGCATCCGCCTCGACCGATCCGCCGCTGGGCCTCGGTGGACTCGAGGCCTTCGCCCGCTGCCTTTGGACAACCACCAAGTCCCCCATCACTACCACCACGAAGCTTGCCAGCAGCAGTCGCAATAGCCACACTAGCTGGACAAGATCAGATTGAGCTTCGCCTGCCCGTCCGGCTTGAAGGCAAGCGCGGCAGGCTCGTTGCAAACTCCTTGTCCTCAGCCTCGAGATCGATGGAGCTGGAGCGCGGCGCCGAGGACAAATCGGCGGACGTCTGAGCGCCAGCGGTCTCCCGCGACCTCCAGCCGCTTGGCCTCGATGCCCTCTCTGCGCACCTCAATGCCCGCTCCGTTGCCAGCTCTGCAAGCCCGCTCTCTTACTCCAGCAGCTCCCTCTACTGACATTCCAACCCCGCCCTGGCACGCAGGAGCACCTGCTGCGCACAACGGTGGGCAGCTTGTAGACTGAGTGGCCCTCGCCGCTCGACGCGTTCCGGGTAAAGCTGCTTCTGGATCGGCGCGCGCAGCTCCGTGTTCCTGTCGCACTCCGCAAGTTTCAAGAGGGCCTCCCCAAACTCCGCGATGCGATCGCTAAGCTGTACCCACCCTGACTTCACCGTAGCCTCATCCTTTGGATCCTTCCATGGCGGGAACGAGGACTCGTCCCGCGGCCAAGGAGGGGGGGGGAGTGCGGCAGCCGCTTCTCGATGGCCGCCGCTGCCATCGGAGAGTTCCTTCGGCGCCTTGCCCCCAAAAACCCGACCGCCCAACTTCCTCCTGTGCCTCCTTTTGCTTCCGGGACTGCAGGACGTTTGGGCGTGACGATGCTCCGCCGCCGCCAGAGGTCGAGCTGGAGCCGCATCTCTGACCTGGCAGACGGTGCGGCTCGCCCAGCTCCCGGACCTCGAACCTCGGGCCGCGGCTCGCGTGGAATCCCCAGGGCCCCTGCAGGTGCTGTGACATCTGGCGTCGCTGGCGACGTGGAGAGGCGCCGTCTGTGGAGCCTGCTCCTCCAGGTGCTCACATGGAAAAAATTAAGGGGCCCCAGGACACACAAATGAATACACACAAAGAAAAGGATCCCCCATATTTTCCCATATTGGGTTTTTGTCTTCCCCACCACTTTCCATATTTTCCTTTTCCCTCCTGAAAAAAAAAACCCGCGCAGCGCGCTGCCCGGAAAGGGGGGGCGCCGCTGGTGTGGCGCAGCAGCAGAAGGCTCGGCCAGGGGGGAACCTGGCGAGTGAACCGTCGCCACCGGCTCGGCCAGGTGGGGGACCTGGCGAACAAGCTGCTGCTGCCCGCGGAACGGCGGCGCCCGCTTTCGACCCACGGAGACACCGCAGGACCTGGAGCCACAGGGGCCGCGGGAACCGGGAGTAGCGCAGGAACGAGGAACGTTACCAGCCTGGAACATATCCCTATCCCTATGCTGGGCACCTCCTCATCACGATGCCAATCTTAGGGATTCCCTTATCTTTTGATGGCGAACCCCTAAGACTGTCATCGCCTTTTGGCGTGTCAATCTTAGGGATAGGGATACGTTCGAGGCTGGTAGGAACTGCGAGGAGGGGGACGGGGGAGCGACAGAACACGACGGGGCACTGCCCGCACGCTCCAGTGCACGCACCCCTGGGCCGCCGCTCGCTCTTGGCGCTCCCGCTCCCGCCGGCGCCGAGCGCGCAGGGCCCGGCGGCGGCGAGCGTCTCCGGCGGCCTGCGTCGCGGCTCCTGGGAGAAGGGGGGGGGGAAGGAGAACCGGCAGGAGAAGGGGAAGAGGGCCCCCTCCTCTCTTTTTGCACCTGCTCCTCCTTCCCCCTCTCTGTCTCCTCGCGCTCTCCTTCTCGCCTCTCCCCTCAGGCCCCCCCCCCCCCCACACCTGGGGGGGGGATCGAAGGGAGGGAGAAGGCGGAGCAGAGAGATGGGAGACGAGCAGGAGGAAAAGAGAAAGATGATAGCAGAAGGGGAGTCGGGGGGTGGGGGTGCGAGCATCCAAAAAGATAAGGAAAGACTTTAGATGCTCATTCTGGGGACCTTCCTGGAGCCACTCGCTCCACTCGTGCGTCGAACCTGAGTCGAACCTGAGTCGAACCTGAGTCGATCCTGAGTCGAATCTGAGTCGAACTTGAGTAGATCCTGAGCCGAACAGATCCATCAGGTGGGCCCCAGGAGGGTCCCCAAAACGAGCATCGAAAAGGCTGGGAGGAGGAGGAGGAGGAGGAGGAGGAGGAGGAGGAGGAGGAGGAGGAGGGAGGAGGAAGGAGGGAGGAGGAGGAGAGGAGGAGGGGAGGAGTAGGAAGGGAGGAGGAAGGAGGAAGGTAGAGGAGGGGGAGGGGCGAGCGGGAAGGAGACAGGAGGGCCCCGCCCGCCCGCGACGCGCCTGCCCCAGGGAGCGGCCCTTCCGCCGCCGCCCGGAGCGCAACGGAGAGGCCACACGCGCAGCAGCGCTGGACGAAACCCAGACGTAGAGCAGCAGACTGCATCCGTTGTCGGGCGTGGAAGCCTTCCTTGGG